GTAAGGGAAGGTAGTCTCTTCGGTAACGAACTACGACGTACGTCCCTCCGTCGACGGGAGGAGGGAAGGTAGGTCGTATCCTACTCTCTCTCTCTCTCTCTCTCTCTCTCTCTCTCTCTCTTTCTCTAGAGGGTCATGTATATATTAGTTATTGGCGTGGGGTTTCCATATTTGTTAGAGATATCGACCCACCCATAGAGTGCTACAAATAATATCCTGTACAGTGAATGGAGCTGCCTGTGTGGCTGCTCATCCCAACTGATTATGTAGAGGCTGCTTTACACGTTCATCTACAGGTGAATTGCGTGGGCAGTGGCGTAGGTAGGTATATTATGTGTTTTTGGGTATAGGGTTTAGCTACTAAAACCCTGTGAGGTTTTTGTTGCCTCCGTCACGGTTGTGTGCAATGGTACAAATTCACCCGGTTACAGATAGATGTGACTGGCACAGACGCATAACTTTATCTCTCTCACAGCTATATCATATCAAAGCACTGACAAACGGTACTATATATAAGCACATTTCGACTTCGCTATATACAAGCACATTTACACTTATATAGGATAGTTTTATATTATCCACAAGCACATTTAGACTGATATGGGATAGTTTTATATTATACACAAGCACATTTAGACTTATATGGGATAGTTTTATATTATATTCAATCAAATTTAAACTTATAAGGGATAGTTTTATATTATCCACAAGCACATTTAGACTGATATGGGATAGTTTTATATTATACACAAGCACATTTAGACTTATATGGGATAGTTTTATATTATATTCAATCAAATTTAAACTTATAAGGGATAGTTTTATATTATATACAAGCACATTTAAACTTATATGGGACAGTTTGATACCCAGGGAGACAGATACCTATGCGTGTGTGAAGGTCTGTATATGCAGAACTCACTCAATTGTGAACCAAGACTCCTTTATCGGATCTTGGAATATGGATTATATTGTATTCTTGGCCTGTAGTCTGTAAATAAGTGTGTGTGTGTGTGTGCAAAGACCGGTGTAACCGCCAGCACTCACTCTTTCAGTGCCAATGCGAACGCAGGCACATTCACAGCCAATGACGGCGGCGCGGTTGGGGGTGTGCTGCGGGTCGATCGAATCACGGAGAACGCTACAGTCAACCTGTACGGTAACTTCACAGAGAATAAGGCAAGTACATAAGCACAGTACAAAAGGCCCGAATATAGGCCCTGTATGTCTTACGTTTTTAATGTATCATATATGGGAGCATCTCATATGCTCATATCCTTTATGAGACTTGCTGTCCTGTATTCATCGTTTGGGCAGCACAGGACTACACGCACGGCAGTAGAGACGCTGGCGTGATTGTCACCTGAACTTCTCAGTGAAGTACCTATTGTAGTAGTAAGGGGCTCGTTTTTGCTGTTTATACAATCGTACGCTCACAGTTGCAATAAGGGGCTAGTGTATGCTGTTTATACAATCGTACGCTCACAGTTACAATAAGGGGCTCGTGTATGCTGTTTATACAATCGTACGCTCACAGTTACATTAAGGGGATCGTGTATGCTGTTTATACAATCGTACGCTTGCAGTTACAATAAGAGGCTCGTGTATGCTGTTCGTGGGGAATCGGAGGGAAAGGCCTTGCCTGAATTGATTCGTAAAGACGCTCTTGAGGAGGTTTGTAAGAAAGCTAGAGAGCTCGAGGAACGTCCTGTACGCAACTCTCAACCTCAAAGCGCGTATGTACTGGAGTTGATTTCAAGATCAAAGACTGCGACAAAGTAGAAAGTTATGCAGGAAAGCAATATCGAATACCTTCTCAGGATAGAAAGGATATCACAAATACCGTCAAAGAATGGGCCTAGTAAGCTCTGGGTGTAGGCACACAGATCTCAATTAAAAAAAAATGGCAAAATGGTCGTTACACTTTACGAACGTATGCTCAGACTTCAAAGACGTTTACTCAAAGTGGTAGGGCAGATGGCGCTTTACTAAAGAGATAGGCTATGAACCACGTGATAGCAACTACACTGCCAAGCATATATGAGACAGGCCACAGTATGTGCCACGTGTTCAGGCTGTCTAACCTTATTTGCTTTCGCAGAGACAAATATATACATATATCGATTTCAAGCGCTATATATATATATATGTATATATATATTTATATATATATATATATATATAT